TTTTTTTTTTTTTTTTTTTTTCTTGTGGCAGGAACAACAATTTCATATCAATACACTCTAGAGCTTTAGGAACTTATGCTTAAGACATAATGGACTACACAAAGAGACAATATCATGCAACATCATACCTATCCAAGACACCATCCTAATCTACTATGTGCCCCTTGTTAAACTTATTTTCATTTTGCAAGGCAAACTCAGATTGCTGGGGGAGGCTTCCTTCGGGAAGGTCTGGATTCAGAGAAAAGGTCTTACTACTTACGCAGTTAACATTTTTTTATGGAAGAGCGCTGTGGTCTATAATTTATTGGAAACAAAAAGGGTGGCTAATGAATCTAATTCTTCGTAGTACAAACTGATGTGTCAATAGATGGGTCGCTAAAAATCCTCAGGTGGTAGCATAACTAACAGCATGAGGAAACCCAACCAAGTAATTTAAGACCTATCTTTCAATGAAACCTCACTTCTAATGGTTGCTTCAAAGTTCAACACATGGACTCAACTAATCTTTCCTCCCATTGACCCCATTTTCATTTAGCAAAACAGATTTGTCTACTCTTGAATTACAAAGAGGGACACACGCCCACTCAACTCTCTCTCAAACGGGTTGTCTTTTCTCTTAGGTTTGAAAAGTCTTGGTTTTCCTATATGAAGGGTTGTAGACTTGGAGTGACAGGACTCCCTACAGGAGGATGGATGGTAAGGCTTCTCTCTCATAAAAAATTCAGAGACGCCAAGAGCATCGAAGATGGTGTAGAATTAGTTATCCTTTATTGTACAGTCCTGTAGGAAGGTTTAAGGACATATCATCCATCAAACGACTTGAATCTAAAATGTTTTGTATTACCTTCTGTCCCAGATTGGCTCCATTAGAAAGACGTGAGTTACAAAGCTCAAATCAAGACCCAATGCAGCACTTCCATCCATCAAAAGCGCCATGCAGCTTGAATCATGCTGAAACATGGTCAATGACTTCATCTGCAAAGGTGAAACAGCATCGATTTACACCAGCATAATACCTATATATCAACACACGTGTGAAAATTATAGAACTGAAGGACATACCTTATTACTAGCATGCATTGGACTATACATCCCAGCAAATTTGATGCCGGCAATGGCTAACTGGCCAAAGAGAAATGGTGTGAAGTACAGATCGTTGTAGAAAATTCCTGGAATGAAAAAGATTAAAAAAACTACCTGTTGTTCAATGACGTGTATATGCTCAAGAAATTGAGAGAAAATAAGAACTTTCTCCCTGACTACTTCATGATCTGAAGCGAAATTTCTTGAGTGGTCAATTTCCTGGAGTAATGTATCATGTTTGGGAAATGAAGAGGGAGGGATCAAAGCAATCTTATCATTTGCTTCGCCTAAAGCTGTCAATCTCTGAATGAGATATGCAACTTTACTACTGGACGTTGATTGCCAATCAGGATCCCAGTCATCCTGTAAATATCACACACCCTGATCAGATTTTGATCAAGTTAGAAAGCAAATATTTACAAGTAACTCTTTCTCATAGTCAGCCTACTTGCTTATATGATGGTTGCAACTCAATCAGGTCTATGGGGACAGGCCACTTTGGGTTGGGATTTTCAGGCCGAGCTAAGGTTTCAAGAGTCTGCATCACATATAACTTACCACATCCAGGGAAAGTGCACCCCTCACTATCCAAAGCAACACAATCAAGGCACAAAAGATGCCTACATGGTGCAATCACAGGTAACCGACACCATTCCCCACACCTATATATGTGAAAGCATTTTTTTATTAGTAAAATAAAACATTGTGAAAGAGTCACATGCAAAGTGAAATAATACCTAGCACAGTTCCCACCATAAAGGAGATTATATTTTATAAACGAATACTCTTGTGACATAGGATCCAAACCATCATCAACAAGAATATCCATGGTTTCTTGAATATCTTCACCAGCTTCTGTAACTTTAATATGTCCTGCCACACAGCAAGATAGTCTGATGTTCTTGATTGTTGTACTTCGAAATTTCCATTGTTTTGGATTCAGTAAACTTTCAACATGGGAAGGATCATTCCAGTCTGCCATTAATATATTACGCCGCACCGTAACTACAAGCTCATTGTAAGTCCGAGCATGCTCTTCTGTAAAATTTAGGTATGTTACTTTCTTGATGCAAGGTGGGATTGATAGCAAATCTGCCTTTCTTGCACTGATCATACACCTACGAAGTAAGTTCAACAAAAGTAACCTTCCTTCCTCCATCTCTGCCTCAAAGGGTCTGAGAATACCAGCCTCCCATGACTTATGATTCTGACCATAGGCTTCTTCATGAAGAAACCTAAGTAATGGTTGAAGATGTGAAAGCTGACTATTAGGTGTGTTAGGAGTTGGAGTTCCTGTTAGTATCCAGCGATTAGAAGATACCAATGAAATAGCCATTTGCAACTTGTTTGTCAAGTTAAGACTAGAGCCAAGGGTGTGCCCTTCATCTAAAATGACCCTATGCCAATGCACTTGCATTAATATACTTCTTTTCCGTGGTCCCCATTCCGCACTTAACCGACTAAATGTGGTAATAACAACATCATAATCCCATGCTAAACAATGTGCAGATGGTTTTTTATGATCAGTCCATACATAAACCATTAACTGACCAGGTCTGACATGTTTTTGGATTTGAGTCTTCCAGTGATCAACTAGATTTGATGGAACAACGATCAGGGTTGCTCTTGATAAATATAACCTAACTGAATCTAGTGGAGCACTCAATGCAGATCTCAAAGCAGCAACATCAAATGCCAAGTTGTGAAGATTATGCGGATAGTACCATCTGATAGTGCCTTTTTCCATTTTCCTTACTAAACCAAATGCTTCAAATATTTGATGAAAACCTCGGGCATCACCACCAGGAACTACAGAAGATGTTAATATAGGACTTCTTAAACCAGTTCTTTCCATTTCTGAAACTTTTTCAGCGGTAAGACTAGAAAGCCAATTCAAGGCTCTCTTTGTTCCAGAATTTATCAGTGCACTGTTTTCCTTGAGCACACTAGTGAAGAACGAAATATTCTTCTCCTCTCCTCCAGAAGTTTCTTTTCTGTAGAATCCTGGAATATTAGTAATTGGACGGCATTGGTCATAAGACTCTTCTGGAACACTGCAACTTTGGTAAAAAGGATCAGTATTCATACTACAAAACCAAGCTGCACTAGCATCAGATGCAGAAGTTTCTGCAAGCTTCCGCCACTTGTGACAAGCATCACACTGAACCCATGTGTCCTTATATTCAAGTTTATCTGCTGCGGTCATCCCAGGCACCTCAAACTTGCTTGTGAATCCATTAGACACATCATCTCTCTTTGTCCCAGCAGCAAACTTCCTTGTCCACGTCCTGGTTGACTTTTTACCAGTATTTGGTTCTTTGGAAAGGCTAGACACTCCTTCATATGTGAACAGAAGATTTCTCTTGACAGTACTCAAGCTTCTAGTGCATCGAACCATATGAACATCTTTTGCATAGTCTGCAGATGATGGAGACCTCAGATCATTGCCAGCACATAAATCATTAGTTGCTGTATGTCTCTCAACCAAGGCTGTCAGCCTTGCCCTTTTAGGTGTATGAAATGCTAAGTTCTCAAATCCTTTCAGAGAACTAAAATCCATAGCTTCCTTCACCAGGCAATGGTTGCTGCTAGAATTATTTTTACTGCTAACCTCATAGTAACCACATTTGCGATTGCCATTATGTGTGCACCAAATAATTTTTACTCCAGCTGGTGGTTCTGCTATCGTCCCCTGAGTCTTTAAGATAAGGGACAGAGCAGTTATTGTCTTTCCTAAGCCAGGTTCATCACAAAAAAGCCCCCCACGAAAGTCAGAGATAGCTGGGGCCCCCCCAGTCACTATTTCACCGGTAACAGTATTTATGTGGAAAGATAAACCATCTTCTGCTGAAAAAGGTACATATAAAGGATGGTAAAACACTTCAACATCCCTCTCACGGTGTAACATCCATTCAACAGCTGCCTGTTGATGAGGGTACAATTTTAGTTTCATGCATGGCATGATTGATGCAGCTAAGGATTTCAGATGGCGGCAAGTTGAGGCAACCCGAATAAGATCCAAGGGGTAAAGAGCTTTCAGTATATTAATTAGAATGTCATCTGATATGTCCCAAATACCTGATTGAGTATGATCATCCTCTGGTTTCATTCTTGTATGGTCAGATTTGCTTGACTTAACAATACTAGGTAAGCTCCTAAATATTTCATGAAGTTCAAAAAGCCTTTTATTTGGAGAACCTTCAGAACTAGTGTGCAATTTGCAATTGTGGACATGACATTCTGCGAGATTCCACACGCTCTTCCTAACCATGTCTGCATCTCGCAAATAGTCTTCTCCAACAAGTATAGAGCTTCTCTCTTGCCATTCACAGCTGAAATTATATAACAATAAGCTTAAAACATTTCGTATAAAACCAAATTACATTAAAATAAATAAATAAGATTGCTAAAGGAAATATAGACCCCCTCTCTCTCCATTTACAGCTGCAAATTCATACCACCATAAACTTTGTGTGAAACAAATTCCATTAAAACCAAAGCTATTAAAAGAATTAGGAGTAGTAGATCCTACTTAACAGAGGAAAAAACAAACAAATAAGAACAAATGCACAGCTACAGATCACAACTTAAACCCAATCTTGTAAAACTAAAAAAAAAAAAATCATATTTTTGAACTGCTTGGTCTCTAAAACAAATAAGGTGCCAAAACAATTATTCAAAGATAAATAAGGGACTAAACCATCAAGCACTTTCGAGCTCATATTTAAAGAGATCCTTTCATTCCTTTCCTTTCAAGAACTCAAGCACTAGGGCAATATCCATGGACCCTATCTCCTTTAAATTTAAGAACTTTTCATAATAATACCACTCATTTATAAGTACCTTCGGAATCAGTTCGAGCATGAAAGAAGGTCTGGTTTCTCCATCATGTAAAGGCTACAAGAATATTAGAGAGTGGAACAAATTGTTTCTTTGGGTCTCAATAGAAAGGAGCCGTTGATAGAGAAGATTAATATGAAATAAAATTGGAAGAAGAATTTTTTTTTTTTTTTTTTTCTTTTACCAAATAAGAACTGTGATGCCGGAGTAGATGGAGATGAAAGCTCGAAATAACCAAAAACTTTACTTTTTTCACCTATATCAGCATGTGCTGTCTATACCTTTTATGAGGGGATTATATGGCTTCGTGAAAAAGTTACAACCCATATCAGCCTTCTAAGCACTTTCAAGTAGCTATATAATGCATAGAGGTTTCTTGATTGGTAGATGAAAAAAGAAATGTCATTTATGTTTGGTTTTAAGTTAACATATTCTAGTTCTTTGGTAGGACAAAGATTTTTGGAACGTTAATCTGATTATTCAAAAAAAGAAACAAAAGCAGTAGCCAGTCAAAGTCCTCGCTAACAGTTACAAATAAGTTGTGTCGATGAGAGTCACTGAAAAATACTAATCCAAGTTCTAATCCAACCCCAAAAAAATTGAATAAAACTAAAGCAATCCATCACCTTAAATGCCGAAATAGCGCACCAGCAACCGTCTTAGATCTAGGAAACTGCCAACCAGACCACAATTCAATGGGAAGATGAACATCAACCAACAACACGACCCTGGCCTCCTCATAGACACCAATATCAACGAAAATCACCTGCGCGTCAATCTTCAAACACTTATGCACTACCAGAGCGTGAATTTGATGCACAGCGCTCATACTGCCATTAACCATCCCCATCCTATTCGTCCTCTTCTTCCTCGAGCTCCTACTTCCCCTCCCAGAAACCTCCTGCTTCGGAGTAAAATCTCCCGTCTCCATCGAACCAGTTCCGTCTCCGCCTACCGTCCCCCCACATTGCTCGGAATCTTGACGCGAAACACCGCCCTTCGATAGCGGTTTGGGGTTCACCTCGATCGGAGAAAGGACGACGCCGTTTTCTGAAGTGAAATAAACATCAGAACTCTCATCGGAAACATAACAACGCGTACCTGGACGTAGAGCATTCGCCAGTTCGGATGGCAGTGAAGGGACGGCCAGAACCACACACAAGAAGCCGCAGAGCTTGTAGTCAGAGAAGTCGTGGTCGTCCATTGGAGGAGCTTGGATTGAAGTAATTCCGGAGATTAGGTGAATGAAGATTGGAGATTGCTAGAGAGTAGAGAAGGGGCGTACATTGCTCGGAGCGAAGACCGCCATAAGAGCGGTTTTCAAAGCTTCTGCAGCAGCCTTTTGTTTTGTTTTTCTTTGTTTTCCCTTTCCCTTCCCCTTCCCCTTCCCCTTCCCTGAATTTCACTGGGTATGGACGTGGGCCCGCTCTGGAAACTGGATAATAATAATATATTATTATTATTATTATTTATTATTATTATTATTTTGTTAAGGGTTGAATTAGATAATAAATCAGAACATTTAATTTATAACTCTGACTACGTTTATTAAATGATGAATTAAACAAGCAAAAATGTAAACTGAGGTGGTTAATGTTATTTAAATTATATTTAATTAAGATTTATAATTCAATTTCGTTTTTAAAAAATTAAGAGTTGAAAATTTATAATATTAACAAATTCGATTATGAATCCAACCCAACTCATCATAATTTTTTTGAGTTGAATTGGTTCGAGTTATTCCTGTGATTAATTCAAATTTTTATTTTTAATAAAAATAAAATATTAATTTAGAAAATATCTAATTTATTTATTTACAAATATTTAATTAAGATTTAGAATTGATTTCTATAATAAAAAATTCCTATTTTTTAGAATGATTAGAGAATAAATAACCAAAAAGTAATAAAAATGTATAATTTAAAATTAACTACGAACTCACGTTAGTTTATTTAAAAAATTTCCTTTATCCTTCATTTCACTAGGGAGAGCTGAAATAGAAAACTCATCCCTCGTCTTCGCTCCTCTATATTCTTGAATGAGATTGAACTACTGAAGGAACCTTCTTGAACGGGAGTTTCACTATTCTTTCACTCGGTAATGAGTAAGTCAAGACTCAACCTCAACCCTTTGACTATGAGAGTTTACCGTCTTTGAAGGGAAAGAAAAGAAAGAAAATCAGACTCAACCTCAAAACTTGTTCTGAACCTGAACCGCTATTCTCTTGCCTTATTTCAAGAGGTGTAAAAGTAGCTCTTTCCCTCATCTCTATCCCCTACCCTGATTTCACTTTAAAGCTATTATGATCTCTCCCCTCTATTCCTTTTTCTTCTGGAACTGATCTTTCGCCTCCGAACCTGAAACCAAGTCAAGACTCAACTCACAGTCAGTCAAGAATCAATGTCATTAGCAGCGCTGCTTTACAGTCGAGTAAAGAAAAGCAAAGAGATAGTTCAACCTTCATCTGTCCCTTCTTTCACTCAATCACCTATCCTCTCCAACTTGGTAAAGTGTCTGTCTTTGCTACTTGTCTTTCTCTTCTCCCTAATAAACGGAATGAGAATTCCTCTCCTTTACAGTCGGGCCGCATCTTTCCCTCTTCACTCCTCTCCCTTTGGTCTCTTTTCTGATCTGACTTCATTCCCTTCTTTCTGTAGGTCTGTGAACTCATTCCCCTGTCGGTAAAGTTATTCCATTGTCTGTCCCTTCTTTCACAAGGTAAAAGACAAAGAGAGAGAGACAAAGAAAAAAAATTCTATTTTCTCTTTTATTTACTATGGCGACGAAGAATAAAATTATCACTATATTTATTCCTTTTTCTACTTCTTCCAAGTGCAAGATAACCCCAAGGGGTTGCAGGTTTTTTTCTACCAATTGGGACCCTCCCTTCACCACCCCCATGGGGATGGTCTACAGGGTTCATAACTACTCCTCTTAGTATAGGACGCTTACCTAGTCAACATTTAGATCCGGCTCTACCCAAACTTTTCTGGTTTACCCCAACATTCCCCAATTGTCTGACTATTGTTGAGCAATTTTTTGATATCAAACGGACCCCCCAGAAGATAATTTTAATGTGGCCAATTTCCCCTCTTTTGCAATCAGTTTCGCTACAGAACCTGCTGCTCTAGCTAATTGTCCCCCCTTCCCAAGTATGATTTCTATGTTATGTATGGCCGTGCCTAAGGGCATATCGGTTGAAGTAGATTCTTCTTTTTGATCAATCAAAACCCCTTCCCAAACTGTACAAACTTCTTCCAAAGCATACGGCTTTTTGGATGTAGATGATGATATCTATATATATGTATCTATATATATATCGTCTAATGAAGTACCACATGAGTGGATATATAGGAATCCAAATCCGCTGAATCACTCATGTTATGATCTTCTACATCCTAGGTCTTCCCGTTCCTTCATCTGGCTTATGTTCTTCATGTAGCATTCAGACCGAATGACTCTATGAATTTACGTCGATACTTCCACATATTACAGGTAACGTAGGAGACATCTCTATTTTCCCCCTCGGGAATCCTTAGAATTACCACGCTTAGCTTTCAATTTGCCTCTGACCATCAAATGAAATGTGAATAACTTGTCCTCCTCTCTTTGAAACAAGGGAACACATGGACTTGAACTAGGGATCAATACAAATTTTGTTACACTTAGCTATCTCACTACTCAAGTCATAAAAATGTAAAGAGAGTTCCCCTACAAACAGTGGAACATTTTATTGCAGTTAACTCGGCCCCGCTTCAATAGGCTAAGCCTTCTCTATTATAGGCCTCAAACCTAAGGTGAGGTAACCTAATGGGTTGACCCTAATTTTTAATGGAAAAATTTGTTTATGAAATTTTATATTAAGGACAAAAGTGATAATCTTAAAATATCCCAACTTCGGCTCATTTTTGTATTGTAGCCCAATCAATATGGCCCCTTTGTACTTCTTCATCGAGCATTCACAGGATCGGTGGTCGACCTTTTTTCTCACCAGGTAAGTTTCTCTGTCACAGTTTGATTCGTTTCTTTTTGTTCTTTGCTGCTTTTTCTTCTGTCCTATTTCTTCTTCATCGGGCATTCACAGCGATCAATCGTCAACCTTTTTTCTCACCATGTAAGTTTCTCCTTCACGGTTTGATTCGTTTCTTCGTGTTCTATGTTGACTCTGGCAAATCGGATGTCGACGAAAAATTGGCCGAAGGTTTCTTCGAAGGAAAAATTAGTGGAAGTAAAAGGAGAGAGAGAGAGAGATTCGCTGGTAATGCTGAAGACTCGATGATTTTATTTTACAACCGTTGAATGGTTTAAATAATAAATCTAATTACAAAAATAGAAAAACCAAATATACAAAAATAGAATAAGTGGACGAAGACTCCGCCACTCTGCCAAAACAATGGCCCCTAGAATCACGCTCCTCCATTCGCGTGAACTCATATGTTTTTACAAACCTAACTAAATAAGGCAGAGCTTTTATTTAACAATCTCCTCCTAAAAGCTGTACCTTATTATTTGAACTCCGATCTTTGAGCGTAGTTCTTCAAATTTCACCCGCGCCAGGGACTTGGTGAAAATGTCTCCAAGTTGTTCCTCTGTTCGGATGAAATCAATTTTGATGAGCCCTCGATCTGCACATTCTCGAATGTAGTGGAATCTGATTTCTATGTGCTTGCTCCGGTCGTGCAAAACTGGATTTTTGATCAGGGAGATCGTAGCTTTGTTGTCTACGTATAGCATTGGTGGATCGCTTTCTCTCCCGGTGAGTTCTTCCATTAGTCGTGCAAGCCAAATCCCTTGAGTTGCTGCCATCGAAGCGGCGATGTATTCTGCTTCGCAGGAAGACAAAGCAACTACCTTCTGTTTTGTTGATTGCCAGCAGATCGCGCCGCCTGAGAGAAAGTAGATCATTCCGCTGGTGCTCTTACGATCATCAACGTCACCGGCCATGTCACTATCGCTGTAGCCGACCAGTTTGAGTTTCTCCTTTTCGCTCCCAGCGCAGTATCTTACGCCCCAGCCTCTGGTTCCGGCTACATAGCGCAGGATGCGCTTGACAGCCACTAGATGCTCCTCCCTAGGTGCTTCCATAAACCTGCTCACATATCCAACAGAATAAGCAAGATCAGGACGAGAGTTTACCAGATAGCGCAGACTCCCGACAATGCTGCGGTAATTGGTGGAGTCGACTGTCGTCGTAGTGCCGGCCTTCCTTAGTTGAAGTCGGGCCTCCATTGGCGTCCTGGTGGGATTACTGTCCACAAGCCCAGTTGTGTCCAGCAGCTTCCTCGCGTATGCACTTTGGCAGATGGAGATGCCGGAAGAGTTCTGTTGCACTTCGATGCCGAGGTAGTAGCTGAGCACACCGAGATCGCTCATCTCGAAGTTTTTCTACATCTCCTTCTTGAACCTTCCGAGGACTCCCACGTCGCCTCCAGTGATTATGAGGTCGTCGACGTACACTCCCACGATCAGTCGCTTTTTGCCGTGGCCGTACGTGTACATGCCATGCTCAGAGGCACAACGTTTGAAATTCAGTGACAGTAGGGTACTGTCGAGCTTCGCGTTCCAGGCTCGTGGGGCTTGTCGAAGCCCGTAGAGTGCTTTGTGCAGGCGCAGTACCTTATTAGGGTTGTCGTTATCCAGGAAGCCAGGTGGTTGTCGAACATAGACGGTCTCCTTCAACTCTCCGTTAAGGAAAGCAGACTTTACGTCCATATGGTGAACCTCCCAAGAGTGATGTGCTGCAATTGCCAGCAGGAAACGAACCGATTCTAACCTTGCTACTGGCGCAAATACCTCTTCGAAATCCACTCCTTGCTTCTGGACGTAGCCCTTCGCCACCAGACGAGCCTTGTGCTTCACAACTTCTCCTTTTTCGTTGCGCTTCAGTTTGAAGACCCATTTGAGCCCTATGGCTCGGTGTCCCGGTGGCATATCCTCCAGACTCCACGTCTGGTTCTCAGTGATGGATGCCATCTCCTCCTGCATTGCCTTCCGCCAGCACGGGTTCTTTTCTGCTTCGGCGAAGGTGTTTGGTTCATCTGCACTGACGGCATGTAGTTCGGCCACTTCTTCGAGCTCGCGCGCTGCTAGTCCAGGTGGTTCACCTCCTCCCACTAGGTCATCCATCCTCCGGTACCTAGCCTCCAGATCAGTATCGTGATCGACATCCAGCGTCGAATCCGCAGTCCGTGGTGTTACGAATTCCACTGGTTCAGGTGGTGCACCTGCTGGCGGCGGTGACGTCTCCTGATGCTGGGCTCCTCCTTCTTCAGGCTCGGTGACGAGGTACTCCACCGTGAATTGATTTGGATTACGGTCTGCCTCGATCACGTCATTCCACTGCCAGAAGGTGCTTTCGTCGAAGACGACGTCGCGAGACACGTGAGCTC